TGTTTGGTGTTTTGGTGGCTAGCTTCTTGAGTTCATTGTATATTTTGGTGATCAGCCCTCTCTCAGATGTGGGGTTAGTGAAGATCTTTTCCCATTCTGTGGGCTGTCGTTTTGTCTTACTGACTGTTTCCTTTGCCTTACAGAAGCTTCTTAGTTTCAGGAGGTCCCATTTATTAATTGCAAATCTCAATGTCTGTGCTACTGGTGTAATGTTCAGGAAGCGGTCTCCTGTGCCAATTTGTTCAAGGGTTTCACCCACTTTCTCTTCTAGAAGATTCAGTGTGGCTGGATTTATGGTGAGATCTTTGATCCATTTGCACTTAAGTTTTGTGCATGGTGACAGATATGGATCTATCTGCAATCTTCTGCATGTCAGAATCCAGTTGTGCCAGCACCATTTGTTGAAGATGCTATGTTATGATAAATCTTTCCGCCAAAGCCACTCAAACCCTAACGCCATGTGGCCAGCTGTCCTCTGCCCGCTGCGTGGATGGACAAAATAATACATAGGCTTATATTAGGTACAAATGCTGCTTGGCCAATGACTAGGATTCTCATCTGTTAGTTCAGTCTTAATTATCATAAATCTATATATTTTTTAACTTATCTTATTGGACACATCCCATTGATGTCCCTCCTTGCCAGTGGATCACATTGTTCCACTGGAGGAAGAGCGGAGGGGAAAAGGACACCTTCTGTTTTTCCTTGTTTGAATGAGTCTCTTTGCTATGTCACTTCCTGCTTGGATCACCACTTCTCTACTACATCTCCAAGAATCCTCTTTGACTCTTAGTCCTGTCTAACTTGTTGCCTCATTGGCCAAACAGTATTTTATTTATCATCCAGTAAGACAAACACATACAGAAGCACTTCCCCCATCAATGCTATCTTTCTTCCATTGTATAGATTTAGCATCTTTGTAAAAAATCGGGTGTTCATAGGTGTGTGGGTTAATATCAGGGTTTTCAATTCGATTCCATTGGTCTATCTGTCTATTTTTGTGCCAATACCAAGCTGTTTTCAGAACTATGGCTCTATAATAGAACTTAAAGTCAGGGATGGTGATACCGCCAGAAGATCCTTTATTGTACAGAGTTGTATTGGCTATCCTGGGTTTTTGGTTTTTCCATGTAAATTTGAGTATTGTTCTTTCAAGATCTGTGAAGAACTGTGTTGGGATTTTGATGGGGATTGTGTTGAATATGTAGATTACTTTTGGCAAGACTGCAATTTTTACTATGTTGATTCTACCTATCGAAGAGCATGGGAGATCTTTTCATTTTCTGGTATCTTCTTTAATTTCTTTCTTTAAAGACTAAAAGTTCTTACTGTACAGGTCTTTCACTTTTTTGGTTAGTGTTACCCCAAGATATTTCATGTTGCTTGTGGATATTGTGATGGGTGATGTTTCTCTGATTTCTTTCTCATTGGATCTATCATAGGTATATAGTAGGGCTACTGATTTTTTTGAGTTAATTTTGTATCCTACTAGTTTGCTGAAGGTGTTTATCAGCTGTAGGAGTTCCCTGGTAGAGTTTTTTGGGTCACTTATGTAGACTATCATGTCATCTGCAAATAGTGAAAGTTTGACTTCCTCCTTTCCAATATGTATCCCTTTGATCTCCTTTTCTTGTCTTATTGCTCTAGCCAGAACTTCAAGTACAATATTGAAGAGATATGGAGAGAGTGGAAAGCCTTGTCTTGTTCCTGATTATAGAGGAATAGCTTTGAGTTTTTCTCTATTTAGTTTGATGTTGGCTATATGGAAACACTTTGAGTTTCTCTCCATTTAGTTTGATGTTGGCTATTGGTTTGGTGTATATTGCATTTATCATGTTTAGATATGTTCCTGTTATTCCTGTTTTCTCCAAGATCTTTATCATGAAGGGATGTTGGATTTTGTCAAAGGCTTTTTTGGCATCTAGTGAGATGATTGTGTGTTTTTTATTTTTTACCTCAATCTGTTTATATGGTGGATTACATTGATGTATTTTTGTATGTTGAACCATCCTTTCGACCTTGGGATGAAGCCTATTTGACCATAGTGGATGATTTTTCTGATGTGTTCTTGGATTCGATTCGCCAATATTTTGTTGAGTATTTTTGCACCAATGCTCATGAGGGATATTGGTCTGTAGTTCTCTTTTTTTAGTTGTATCGTTGTGTGGCTTGGGTATCAAAGTGAATGTAGCCTTATAGAAAGAGTTTGGCAATATCCCATCTGCTTCTATTGTGCGGAACAGTTTGAGGAGTATTGGTATCAGCTCTTGTTTTGAATTTCTGGTAGAATTCTGCAGTGAAGCCATCTGGTCCTGGGCTTTTTTTTGGTTGGGAGGCTTTTGATGACTGCTT